TTATGTGAACAATACCCAATTTGTCTTCCTCTTTTGATCTCATATAATAAAGTTAGATGGAGAAGGGCTAAATTCCTGCAGGCCTAAATGAGATGGCAGCACAACAACATATTTAAAAAAACAAAATTGCGCTGTTATTTGGATGGATTCACCATCATGGAACTGCGTTTCTGTATTAGCCTTTCTCATGTGTCTTTTGAAATCTACCATGTAGAAAGAAAATAATAGGACCATTAAATAAAGTATCTGCATGTAACATTTCCTAGCCCACCTAACTTTGGATGGCCTAATTATATTTGATCAGGTGTATCAATATAATAGTCATAGTCTGATGACAATGGTTAACTTCAATATGCTGTCAGCGTATGTTAATTATTATTGAACACATATCGAAGCACTAAAGTTCTCTCATAGAAAAATACATATGAATTTGGTTGTAAATTGACTTGTTATAATCCATTTAAAATCTCTTTCATAGGAATAACTAAACATAAATGGCTTCATATAATTCTATGAGTTTCTACATATCCAAGTGTGAGAACAACAAAATCATCAGTTAAGAGATATGATTAAAATACAACCACAATGCTTCTTTCTTTCTTTCTTTCACGCACTGGGAACCTTTGCACTTGTTCCTGGGGCTAAAAGGCTTGTGGGTGTAGACCACAAGAAAACTATTAGTATGGGAATATTATATATGGGATCTGATATTCCTTTAATAGGATTTGAAACCTCTCAAATGCATCATCCTTCCTCGTAGTGAGGCGAGTGGCTTTACCCTACAGTGATCATGCCAGTAGTATGTATGACAGTAAGGTCTCGTTTGCATGAGTGGAAGGCTCCACTGCCCCTCTGATCCATGGTGGATCGCTCCTCAGAAGGCAGTGGAACATTGCCTGCCCAGCATTCAAGAGATGATACTGCCACCTCCTAAATGTCGTTTTTTTCTTTTTGTTATCCCAATAGGAATTTCCTATTGCAATACCATGCCACAACCACGTGCCCAGACCATTGTGACATGGTCCTATTGATTTCAATGGCAAGCAGCTCTTCCTACCAATCATGACATTAAGTTTAAATTAAGTTGCACTTTCTTCAGTAGGATAATACCTCAATAAAGACCTGAGCCTGGGGGAAAACATTGCAAGAGTCTGGGTACTGCTCCCACAATGCACTGGCTTCATTGGAAAAATTTGTAAATGCTTATTAATCATTAGACCAGTGTTGCTGAATTTACTATTTTCACAAAAGGTGTGCTAAGTCTTTAAAGTGTTCCTCTTATCAAAACCTTTTATTATGAAAGGGTTAAACCGTCTCTCAAGCTTTTATTGTTGTCTGTGTCTCCATTGGGGAGATTCATTCCTCTATTTGTACAGGTGACCATTGTCACCAAGAAAGAAAGTGAGGGTAAATCCAAAATTTTAGAGCTGTTCCTAGAACAATGGGTAAGAAGAAGTCTTTCAATGGAGGCATTTAAACCTAGGACAACTAAGGTGAGAATTCCCCCACTTTTCACTAACTTTTTGTTTGCATCTTTGGGGCAGGAAAAGAAGGGAAATTACCCCAACTGAACAAATGTACTCTATTGATAGTGCAAAAAAAAAAACCTTTTGGCTATAAATGCACTTTAAACCACATTCCTCACTGAACCACAAGAAGAGAGTGGTAGTTCCAGCTTACACAAACTGCCACTTTGCCAAAAATCCACACAATGTGAACACAGAAGACATTTATAACGTGAACACATAAGGATTTATATTTGATATCCCAGGACGGCATCTTGTTTCAAACATGGCACTGCTTTCCACCATAACACTGTGACAACACGAAGGGCCCAGTTTTTCTTACCTGTTTGATGGCAACCAACAGTCTTCCATAGCAGTATACAATGATGAAGAAAGGCAACGCCAAGCAGAATATGAATAGACACACAATGTATGATGTGTTTAGGGCATCACGGGAGTGCCAGTTCACTGAGCATGTGGTACCTGGTCCTTCTGGGCCATAGCTGCTCCACCCAAAAAGTGGCGGTAGAGTCCAAAAAAGGGAATATACCCAAGAAACTAGAATTCCAAACCAAGCCTTCTTGTAGTTTGTTACATCTGCTTCTGTGCTCCTGAGCATGGTGCAGTAACGCTCGTAAGACAGTACAGCCAGCGAAACCAGAGATACTGTTCCTATAGAAACAAAAAAAGTTGGGGAAACCATGATCATGCATATATATTAGAGATTTAAAAAAAATATTAACCAATATTGGAAATGTATCACTTATACATATGTGGTAAGTGATACACTGACAATAATGTTATTATTCGGAAAACCCTTACTTTATATTATTAAATCCAATATATACTGTATGTGCATCTGGTGGTCATATTAGCTGATTATATAGGTATTCTACATGACACGTACTACAAAGAATAATACTGATTAAGATAAAAGACTACCATTGTCTCAGTAAATGTCTAAGCCTAGCACAGGCAGCACAATTTAAATTAAAGGAGAACTATGGGGTAAGTGTTTTTCCCCATTGTTCTCCTAAGGGTCACAGGAGGACACAAACTAGCGTCCTCCCGTGACCCAAAGTTGAGTATACCGCGAGCTACAGCTACAGTCAGCGCTGGAGGATCGGAGCGGGGAGGGGTGGAATCCCTACAGGGAGCCATGAGTGACAGTCACGGCTCTCTGCAGGGACATGATTGAGAAGTGAGTGAGCGACTGTATGTGTTTGCTTACTTCCCGATCTACTGAGCCGACGTGTGACAATTTCATTGTCACACGTCGGCTCGAACTATGAGGGTGAGTGAAAATCACTAACCTCATAGTTCTCCTTTAAGGTGTGAAGATTTTAAATTTCTGCAGATCAGATAAAACAGATAAAATAAAGAATCAGCTATTTAAAACTTATTAAATATGTAAAGTTCATTAAATCTTTATGTAATCGCAAAAATTATGGTGATGGCATAAGGTTTATCTTTTTTTAGACAAAGAATAAACAGGATTGCATTTCATATGTATAGAAATATATTTTAAAAAACTATTTTTAAACAAGAACATAATATAAAGATAGCAATAGTCAGCAATTCACATAAAACATGTTGGGGGGCAAATGAAAGGTGCCATAACTAATTAAGGTAACTAACTCACAATGGTCCAAAAAATAAGTCACTGAAGGCATCATATGCGGGTAAAAAAGAACCACAAATGCAAGGGATGACATGTGACAGTGAAAAGATAAAGTATAAAGAGAGACAAACTAAAAACTGTATAGATTTTGCAAGACCCAGAAGAACACTACAGAGTCTCAGAAGGCGTTATAGTGGCTTCTATATTGCCTGGATCAATAAAGAAGTGAATGAAAACACTTATATGAAAGCTATGGGAGTTATATGACAGATTATACAGACCAGCAAAAGCAAAGTGGATATATACAATTTTGTGTTATTGAGGAGGATATAGATGTGGTAGCAGGTTACAGGAAACAATGTGGATTACAATTAGAATTGCCAAAGTCCTCCTGCTTTATAGGTTCCAGGAAAACCTGTAAATATGGGGAGGAACTACAAACATATATTGCAAGATGAACATATACCTAGTAATATAGTCTGAAGTGAAGCCCTACACAAATATTTTTCATAATTCTGAATAAAGGACAAGGAAACCTGTTAAGCATTTAAATGCCCAACTTCAACCAAACTTTTTGCTTTGGATATAACAGGGAAGGGATAGAGCTTCTGTCAGGTTTGTATTGCTCTTTGTCAGGACAGGAAATTATGAGAAATCTCACCAGGGGCACAGCCAAAAATACTGAAAATTGATCACCAATACTTACAGTAATTTTCCTTTCCTGACTTATCCCCATGGCATTACAGATGGGTTAACTCTGCCCCCCTACTCAACTCTGCATCATGTTTATCTATAATGTTGAGCCCCACCCTAGCAGGAGCGTTCTGGAACTAAATACTCCTACTCTGGATCGGCTTGTGTAATAGCGCAGAGATAGGACAGGAAAGAAAATTTGTGGAAAGCACAGGAAATCCATTTTTTTGTTTTCCTGATGTCTCCAGTGTTATTCTTTTTTAAAAGAAGGAGACAATACTTTTTTGTCAAAATTCAGTGAGTAGTGAGTGCAGGAAAATGTACAGCAGTAGTGAGACTGGAACATGTTTGGCAATGAGCATGTTGCGGCCTTCCAGATCAATGGACGCCATCCATGACGCTGCCCATGACGTGTAGGTACTGCATGTTGAGTGTATAGGAACCAAAGAGAGATTGATCTATAGGTCTAACCAATGACTTTGGTGATCCACACAGATCTACATCCAAGCAGCCTTCTCTCCTGAGCCTGCACCTCTCAAGAGCCCTAACCCTTTAACAGTATGAAAATAAATTCTGTGATTACTAAAATAGGTTTTAAAATTTTTGCTATCTTATGACATAAATTATGCTAATAATGCATCTGTACAGCCATTGCTTCCATGACTTGGAGTCATTTCTGTGGTATACGATAATAACATAAAAAGAAGAAAAAGTGATTGCAGAGTTTGGCTGACTGTAATTAAAAAAAACCTATAGCAAGACATTTTGCTTCCATGAGACATAACTGGGTTCAGTGGCGTAACTAGAAATCACAGGGCCCCATACAAATATTTTGTTTGGGTGCCCACCAGAGCCCGCCAGAGGCCCCGCAGAGCCCACCAGAGACCACGCAGTGCCCACCAGAGATCCCATATAGCTCAACCGGGGGCCCCGCACAGCCCACCAGTGAGTGACACTGCGGAGCACACCATAGACTTTCTATGGTGGGCTCTGCAGGGTCTCAGGTGGGCTGCTCAGGGTCCCTTTCCCTGCTCCTCTTACCTGTCAGCCCCCTAGCCGCCTGCTGCTAGGCCTCCTCCACCTCCAGGAACCGGCCTCCTTCTCCTTCACTAAAGTGGGTATACATTTTGTAAAAACTTACAAGATTCCTTAACCACTTGATGACTGAGGTGTTAATCCCCCCTTCCTGACCAGGCCATTTTTAATAATGCAGTGCTTCGATACTTTGACTGACAATTATTCAGTCATGCAAAACTGTACTAAAATCTATTTTATACCAATTTTTTGGGACAGATAGCGTTTCCTTTTGGTGGTATTTAATCACCACTGTGTTTTTTTAATCTTTTTACTATATAAAAAGTACTGTTTTTCCTACATTATGTTATGAAACATGTATCATTACCCAAATTTTTGGTAAAATATAAAAGATGGGGTCATGTTGGGTAAATAGACATCAAACATCTCAAGCTTTAAAATTGCGTGTGCCCACGAAATCACAAAAAAATACCATACCCAAAATGGGCCATAGGCGACGCTTTAAAAGCTTGTACCGCTCATCAGTTTAGTGTTAGCAGTGATTGGTGGCCCTAGAATTATTGCTCATGCTTCAATGTTCACGGTGATATGTAACAATCGTCATTTGCGCCCATAGACGCACCAGACACATGTTTGCATGTGTATGTGGGGGCGGGACTTTAACTTTTTTTTTGTTCACTTAATTTTCTTGCTATCACATAGGGGACTAAGAAACCCCCTATGTGATAGCCAATTTACAGTGACAGGTCCTCTTTATGGAGACATTAGGAGTCTCTAAGAGCCCTAATGTCACCTAGGGATCCCCAAAGAAGCTGATGCAGCAGAGATCTGCTTCACCAGCTTCTCCCCGACTTCTTTAGCCAGAAAATGACAGCTGAATGCAGAAGTGATGTATTATACATCACTCCTGCATTCAGAGACCAGAGGGGAGATCAGAAGGAGATTGTGTACTGATCTCCCTCTGATTTTCCCTTACAGAGCCGCTGTGCCGGCCATGGGCCCGCACCGGGCACAGCGGAGCTTGAGACCGGTGGCAGTGGAGGAGGAGGGGGCACTCAAAGCAGCACAAAAATACTTTGCTGGCTGTTTACAATTCAAGCAGTTTTCCCACTCATGCGTTTTGGTGTGGCGAGGACATTTAAAAATGCCCACCAGCTTCCAAGAAGCCACAGTCCAGCCATTTAATTACAATGGCCGGACATCCGGTGATTAAAATGTATTTCCACTTTTGCATTAAACTTTTTAAAAAACCCTCTATATGTTTGTTATGTGTTTACATTCACACAGCATAATGAAAAATATATTTTTAAACATATTGCTTACCTTTCAGATCAGGGATCCCCCAACTCCCGGTCTGTGGTTTGTTAGGAACTGGGCAGCAGCTTCTGCTCCAGGCCCTACCCTGCAAATAGGCCTGGCCAACCCGGATTGCCTCGATATGTGGGATGGCAATCTGGGCCGGCTACAATCAGGCAGAAGCGTCTATCTAATCAGGCATATAAGAAGGCCTCTCGGGGGGCCCTAGTGAGGAGCGAGCGGCCCCCTACTATCAGACTTTTTCTGATAGCAACTAATTGCACGATTGTCAGCAAGAATGACGGCCATTGACATGCCATGTAAATTCTTTAACAGCCTTTTAGTTAATTGACACGTGCAGTGTGTCCACCTGTTCTCATTCTAAACGGAAGAAGGAATAATAAGGCTGAGCAAATATATCACAACAAGGTGCTCACTGCACTGGTATTTGATTAGGAATTATAGCATAATGGCAGGATCCGGGTAGCATAATAAAAGTTAGTATCAAAAGAATAGAATAATAATTAAGAGAAAGACAATGAGGCTCCTAGTTGTCTGAGTGACACATACAGGTGAAACTCGAATAATTAGAATATCGTGCAAAGTTCATTTATTTCACTAATGCAACTTAAAAGGTGAAACTAATATATGAGATAGACTCATTACATGCAAAGCAAGATAATTCAAGCCGTGATTTGTCATAATTGTGATGATTATGGCTTACAGCTCATGAAAACCCCAAATCCACAACCTCAAAAAAGTAGATTATTACATGCAATCAATAAAACAAGGATTGTACATAGAACAATATCGGACCTCTGAAAAGTACACGCATGCATATGTACTCAGTACTTGGTTTGGGCCCCTTTTGCAGCACTTACTGCAATTACTTTTGCACAATATTCTAATTATTCGAGTTTCACCTGTATACAACAGTTTCTTTATATATTTTTTAATGAAGAGTTGTGAACCAGAAAGGTTCCTAAAACTTTGAGAAAAGTTCAGAGTATCTTCAGATCAGCTGTCACCTGTCAACAATCTCTTACAATAGG